TGTATTTTGACCCTTTTACGTCGGAAAAGGGTCCGACGTTAATACGGGAGTCGTAAATTTACATCGCCTCTGGAAGACGACGTAAATTTACGTCGGGGATTTTTCCAGACCGACGTAAAAAGGGGCAAAATCATGCCACAAATTTACGTCGGACGTGGCCTTGTCCGACGTAAATTTACGTCGGTCATTGCAAGGCCCGACGTAAATTTACGTCGGACAACGCCATGTCCGACGTAAATTGTGGCAGTTTTTTTTTTAAAAACGTTTGTAAATTGATATACCCAACACCTGCATATAAATATAATCCAGAATACCAAATCTAAACCAGGCAGTCCAGAATAGAAATTCAAATTGTATTTCAAAATTGAATGACAAAAAGAAAATAATATATAAATCTTAAAAAACATAAATTATGACAATGTAAATCCTATTATCCTAAAAAAGCTATAAAACATGTTTGTCAATGCTATCTAAATAACTAACTATCAAACTATAAACATAATATCTAACTAACTAAACTTAGAAAAAAAGTTGCCCATTGTTCTCTTATCTTGAGCATCTCATCTTCGGGCAATGGAGATGGATCTTGAAAGACCTGAAAGGGTAATTTAAGTGTCATTAATATGCAATGTTAATTATTCTAAAGGTAAATATAGTTAAATAACTCGGGAGTTCTAAGGAGAACGCATCTGCAGAGCAAGGAGAAGGAATCATCAGAGGGGAGGCAGAGGTTTAGATTGCATATGTTGCATTACGTACTCTATGTAAAGGGAGAGTGAGAACACTCATTTCTGAGGATTGAGTGTATACATGAAGGGTAGAGGAATTGACTTCAATCCCATAAATTTTTTGTTCAATAAATGTCATGTGCGTTTGATGTGATTTATTGAGTAGATTCTGAATATGTATTTTATTTGATAATCAGATGTTTTTATAATAATTAATTGAGTATTATGTAGAAAGGGTTAGAACCTTAGAAGGATTCACCCCAACCACATAAGTTTTTTGATTAATGAATTGTTATATGTGTTTGATGTGATTTATTGAGTAGATTTTGAATATGTATTTTATTTGATAATCAGATATTTTTAGAATAATTAATTGCGTGTTTTGTACAAAGGGGTTAGAACCCTAGAAGGATTGACCCCAATCCCATAAGTTTTCTATTTGATGAATTGTTATGTACATTTGATGTGATTTATCTAGTAGATTCTAAATATGTATTTTATTTGATGATCAGATGTATTTAGAGTAATTAATTGAGTGCTCTGTAGAAAGAGGATTGAACCCTAAGGGGAGAATTTGATGAATTTAAGGGATAAGAGTTGTAGACGCTAAAATTGGTGGATTCCCTATATGTAAAACGAGTTCTGAGTATTTATAATTTGTATGATTGATTTGGGTGATGTTTGCTTCAAGATTTTGTTTTGTAATTGATGTGTTTGGGTGCTAGAAAACACAATGTTAGGCTTAGGTGCTTGACGCTGAGTGTGTCTTCATGTGTATGAAGGCACTACCTAGAGAGAGCAGGGTAAAGTGGAGATACTTAAGGAGTCTAATTGTTAAAGAAGGGATTCAATTCTTGTGCATTCCAGGAAACCAAAATGGCAGAAGTTAGCAAATTGATTTGCCAAACAATATGAGGGGATTCTAATCTAGAATATTTATTTACTTCGACAGCCAACTCAGCAAGAGGGTAGTTATGCTTGTGGAACAAACAAACATTTCAGATACAAAATTAATTTCAAGGAGATGGCTTGTTGGGAGTTGAAGGTGTTTGGAAAGAGGAAGATAGGGTGGTCACTATTATTAGCATGTACTCACCATGTACACTACCATAAAAAATCTCATTATAGGCTGTACTGATGACATGGAAAGAGTGCTCATAGGTTAATTTGTTGTGTGTGGTGGGTGACTTCAACACTATCAGACACAGGGGCGAGAGGCAAGGCTTGGGTGTCATGAATAGTGAGTCAAGGGACACACATCTCTTTAATAATTTCATCTTAACATCGGTTAAAAGGAAACCCGATGTAGAATACTTCATTTTCGAAGTCTCGATGTAAATTTGCTTATATTTTTTATTTAATTACAAGTTTTTCATCCATATGTTTTTTACATCATTTCTTGGACAATCGATGTAAATATAGTGACGTAAAACAATATTTTCCTAGTAGTGCTTGCTCTATAAGCATCTAGACAATTAACCAAACTTCTAGACATTTAACTAGAGTTTGTTAGCTAAAGTACAAAATAGCTAATCTTGGTTATGGTTAGTCTATTTTGCACCATAAACTAACCAAACTCTATATAATTTCTATTTGTAAATGGTTTAGAACTTTGAGATTTATGTTGATTTGGCTGAGTTGTTTCTCTCTCAGACTCTCTCTAAGCTTGTTTCTCTCTTTGAAGTTCTTCTTTTTCTCTCATCCTCTCTTGAGTGTAGTAAGAAACTGAAGAGATATATCATTCATCAATGAGTTTGGCATCGTCAAGGAGACTTTCTTCATCATCTTGTATAGTGAAAATGACTTCTAACATTCATGGGAGCTATTGAAGAAACTTGAAAGAATCTACAAAGTGAAGATTTGTTCATAAAAGTTTGAGGGAAAAGCTACATCAATCATGTTTCTCCTAGAGTTTGCATCGCACCATTTTCCAATTACCTTTATTATGAAGTAGAAAATAGGTATGAGATTAGAACCCACTCTTCCAAGAATTCAAGAGGCAGGTGTTGTGTTTTCTTTAAAATCCCTCTCCAAAAATATATTTGCATCTCAAATCGTAAGAATATCAATACATTCTTTAGTGTGTAAACAACCATATTATAATCACACACAAAGTCACAATAGTTTTAAAATCAATCAAATAATTTTTAAATTTTTTTTTTCATGTTAAGTCAAAAGAAAATACCTAAACTTAGAGTTTTAATACTAATAAACAAAACATTTTTAATTATTCAACTTGAGAGTACAAACCAAGTATTTGTTGCCTCTTCAACCTTTACAAACTTCCATACTTAACATGAGCTGAACTTCACCAAACATTCTTTCTTACCAAGCTTCTCTTTAGGCTCTTAACAATACATAGTTGAGGTTTACAAGTGTTTGACTTACAAGAATCGGAATATGGACGTTATAATTAAGCAAGTATCTCACTCAACCAAGACAAACTATACTATTGAGTTACAGAGATGGTACACTCTATAACTATGAATTTTTCACAATAGCTTTCTCGATTGGGACTTAGAAGAATTTGAGTATGATTTATCCACGTGTTGGACAAAAGGCACAATAGGTCCTTCTTGTTTTGTGCTAATAGAAGAGATAAAAGTTGCTACAATTGTCACAATAAGTGAAACTTTGTGACGTTGCTTTTCTTGGATAAGCCAACACAAAGATGATTTTTGTAATCTTGCATTCTTCGTGTATGCATCGGATATGACCTTTTTTTCTTGCCAGCAAAGACATAATAACAGGCATAATTTTTTAAAAAAAAAACTTGTATTTTGTTAGTGACATAACAAACTTGGTGCGCATAAGTGGCAACTCATGGACATAACTTATACGAGTTATCAAATAAGCAAATAAAGCATGAATGCAAATAATAAACACAATAATCTCATAATATAACACGGTATAACAAGGCACACACACCAACAGAGCACATATGACAACAAACACAAAATGAGAGCATGTGCGTAATGGTGAAGAGCATAATGAGATGATGTAGCGAGAGAGAGAGTGAGTGATGGAAAGCTGTGTGCAAGAAGGAAGGAAGTGTAGTTGAGAGAGAACAAGAGGGTGCATGGAGAGAGAGAAGGTGATGATAAGGCAAAGCAAAAAGGAGAGAGAGAGTAGTGGTGTGATGGGGAAAGAGCAATGAGGGAGAGCATGACTATGATATGAAAAGGAGGGAATGAGTGTCCACAAATTTTAATGGACCAACAAGATTGGATAAGCAACCAATTTTGTTAACCTACAAAATCGATACTAGAATTATCAATTTTGCATGTTACATACAAAATTGATTTTCCAAGAAACCGATTTTCTATTAACATACAAAATCGGTTACATAAGAATTAATTTTAATTAGAGAGTGTGACTATATTTATAAAAAAAAAAAAAAGAGAATGTAAATATCCTCCTCTAAAGTTGGTTCCTATATATAATCTATTTGAAATGACGATCAATTTTGTATGCATTTATGCACCGATATAAAAAAAATCACTATGTTAGCACTTCAAATCTAAAATTGAATAATTAAAAAAGAACTTCGAATTATCCGACTCCTGTATATAAGGAGTAAAAATGTAATTAAACAAAATAAATTATATAAAAAATGTAATTAAACAAAATAAATTATATAAAAAATGTAATTATATAACTCTTGTCTCATCTGTTCTTTTATTTTTCGAATCCAATTTAAACACAAAAAAGTTTCACTCCGGGCCAACTCTGTTGTTGCTGCTTTTCATATGTGACAAGGAAGAGCAACTATTACCATCATTGAGTGTGCAACAGTAATGGCGTGCTAGCGAATTATAAGGCAAACACACTGTCAATTGTGTCTTTGATGGCGACCTAGGCGACGATGGCTCTTGTTTTTACTAAACTTATGTGTTTTACAAGTGTAAACGTAATTTTTTTATTATATATTTTTTATTATTTTAATAATGATTTTAATGATTTAGTAAAACAAATAAAATATTCATTAGATTGAATTGATTTGGAATAGAAATCGAAAAGTATATAAAACAAACTTACTAATCTAAATTAATTAAAATCGTTAGATCGGATGAAAATATAACTCAAACTTCAATTTAATTCAATTCAATCCGTTTGGATCGAAAATTCTGAAATACTTTTGAATCGGTCAAGTTTTTCTTTGAGTCAACTTTTACTTCATGTTTTTTTTACCCTAATAACGCTGTTTATCATATACCTTTTTTTCTTTGCTTCAATTCAATCCGTTTGGATCGAAAATTCTGAAATACTTTTCAATCGGTCAAGTTTTTCTTTGAGTCAACTTTTACTTCATTTTTTTTTACCCTAATAACGCTGTTTATCATATACCTTTTTTTCTTTGCTTTTTCTATCTCCCTTCCACCGATAAAAGTGGTATAAAAAAGGTATTTATCAAATTTATAATTTTTCACGTGCCAATTAATTTGTCATTTTGAAGTATATATGTACCATGGCCCCAGCATTATAAAGTCGACATGGTGATGAGGTAAACATGACAGAATAATTAGAGAATAATATAACATCTAAAGTCACCGTAAAAGACACTTGACACTGTATGACACTACGGGAACAAAACGCTTCACACTCATGAGTAACCAAAAAAAATATCTTCCATAATCTATAAATATAGCAGTTCGACATGCTCCTCATCATATCCATCTCTAGGGTTTCTTAGATATTAGTTCTTATTTCCATCACTGTTTCCTCAATCATGCGTGCACATTTTGTATTGTGTTTCTTAGTCCTATGTTCACTTTCTACAACACATTTCACTGAAGCCACTAAAAGTGGCTTCAGCGTTGACCTCATTCATCGTGACTCACCTTTGTCACCCCTTTACGACCCTTCACTCACCCCATTAGAACGCATAAAAAATGCTGCCATGCGCTCCATGGCTCGATCCAATCGCGTTAGTCTTACCCGAAATGAAAACAATTTGCCCAAAACAATCACGGTTCCAGACATAGGAATTGGTGAATACCTCACGAGATTCTACATTGGCACTCCTCCTGTGGAAAGGTTTGCTATTGCAGACACAGGGAGTGATCTTATTTGGGTACAGTGCACCCCTTGTAGGAAATGTTTACCCCAAAACACACCATTGTTTGATCCAACAAAGTCTTCCACATACAGAAGAGTGCGATGTGACTCTCAACCTTGCACACTACTCCCCCAAAACCAACGTCGTTGTGGAAAATCAGGCTTGTGCAACTATAGGTATGGCTATTGTTGTGCAGGAATATATACATGTATACAAATTGTTCATCAATACTAAAAAATTATTACCTTCTATGTTTTTTCTTTTATAGATTTTTTTTAAGAATTACCAAAATTTTAAAAATATCTATCTCACAATATTATATATTATAAAAACTAAAATATTAGATATTTATAAAGTGATTGTTAGATTTGTCAAGAGAAATCTCACTTTTGACTAATATGAGAACTTAAATTATTTAACAATATTTAACTTTTTGTGAATATAATATATAATAGTGTGATGTTTAGTAACTTCTAAAAAGCATACAGAAGAAAAGCACATAGCAACTAGTATGGCTAACTATTTGTATTCATGAATAACTATGATTTTCAAAATCGAAGTTTAGTTGCTTTTTTAGTATAGGCTAACGATTTGTATACATGAATTACAATATCATTTTCAAAATCGAAGTTATCAGTTTTGATTATGTGTTGATCATGGGTAAATGCAAAGAATAAGGACTTCTCTTTTTCTTTTCTTGAATAATCAATGAATCTTTTGTTTTGCGTACCCCTGATAACTCAAATCTAATATATGGTTATTTGTTTGCTGATAAAAAAAAAAGGTATATCTATGGTGACAGCTCATATAACGTTGGAATACTGAGTGTTGATAAAATTAGTTTTGGTTCCAAGGGTGTTAATGTGTTTCCCAAGTTTACTTTTGGATGTGCTTATCTCAATAAAGATGACGAGGATAAGACCAAGATGAACACAGGGCTAGTGGGTCTTGGAGCTGGTCCATTGTCACTAGTTTCACAACTTGGTGACATAGGTAAAAAATTTTCCTACTGTTTGGTTCCTCAAGGCTCAAACACCACAAGCAAATTGAAATTCGGGAACGAATTAGCTACTATAAAAGGAAAGCGTGTTGTGTCCACTCCCCTCATATTCAATTCCTCTTCACCCGGATTCTACTTCCTCAATCTTGAAGGCATCAGCATTGGAAAAAAGATGTTAAAGACAACCAAAAGTGTGATCGATGGCAACATGATCATTGACTCAGGAACCACGTTCACGATTCTCCAGAAGAGTTTTTACAAGAAGTTTGCGAGTTTGGTGGAGGAAGTGCTTGGCAGTGAGGCAGTGAAAAATCCCCCACGGCCCTACAACCTTTGTTTTAAAGGCGAGGATATTAAGGATAGCGATGGTAGTGATGATGATGGTGTTGTGTTTCATTTTACGGGAGCTAAGGTTCGGTTGAATAATGTAAACTTGTTTTCTCTCATGGATGATAACTTGTTTTGTGTGATGGTGAAACCCACTGATGACGATGATGGCCTTCCAATCTTTGGAAATCAAGCTCAAATTGGTTTCCAAGTGGAGTACGATCTTGATGGGGGTAAGATTTCTTTTGCTCCTGCTGATTGTGCCAAACATTAGCTCAACTTTGCGTTGAATTAATTAAGGTTTTACTTTTACTTGTTACTCGTACGAACCAAGAAAATAGAAAAGAAAAGAAAAAGTTCCATGTTTTGGAAGTCTCGTAGTACATAAATGCGAATAATGAATATGTTCCCACAAAAAAAAAATATAACAATAATGAATAAAGTAAATGAACCAAGGGTTCGTTATGAATGCATGTATATATTCCTTTTATTTATGGTCTTATGTACTTAATTTTCCTAACCATTAATCTTCAATAAAAAAAAAATTAGTCGCATGTTTCATAAAATATAATATATTTATTTTATTAATAATTTTGATATTTTTATTTTATTAGTAAAGGTTGTTAAGTATTTGTTTTAATTATTTAATATATTTTAGAATATAATATATAGATATTTTATTAAAGATTATTATAATAATTATTAAAAGGGAAAATAATTTGTAATTGTGATTAAGTGTTTTAACTAAAAGAGGGTTAAGGGAAGGTTAATGTTTTTAACAGAATCATTTTCTGATATATCAAGCCCTCTTACGCCTCTACTTTCACATTCTCTAACGCTCGGGTGTTCTAAGGAGAACGCATCTGCAGAGCAAGGAGAAGGAATCATCAGAGGGGAGGCAGAGGTTTAGATTGCATATGTTGCATTACTCACTACAAGAAAATGACGATTTTGCGACGGTTATATGGCCTACATTGCGACGGTTAGAACTGCCGCAAAGACAACATTGCGACGGTTTGGGAACCGTCGCAGAATTTTCCGTCACCAGGCAATTTTGCGACGGTTATCAGAACCGTTGCACAAACCGTCGCAAACTTGGAATTGCTACCCTTTCATCAACTGTCGCACCAATTGCCTCTATATTAACATTACGACCTTTTCATCAACTGTCGCACCAACTGCCTCTATATTAACAGTGCGACTCTTTTTTTACCTGTCGAAAATTATAATTTTTTTTAATTTTAATAAGTTTATTAATGTAACAATCCTCATATTTGGCCTCTCAAGGGTTCTATTTCACAATATTTCACTATTTAGCGTGTTTTATCCTTACTTGTGCAATTTCTGGGAAACTTCCCAGAAGGTCACCCATCCCTGTACAACTCCAGGTCAAGCACACTTAATTGTGAAGTTCTGATGAGTAGGCTACCGAAATGTATAATTACCCCTTTTGGAATCCATTCCTACCTCTACTCCTCCTGAGATTAAAAACCTTTTAATCACTTACGAGGCTGTCTTCCAAATACCTAAAGGCTTACCCCCAAATCGCCCTGATTCAGTGACGAAATTTGTGACGGATTTTTAGAGACGGAATATATTCCGTCACAAAATCCGTCACAAAAGTCAATAAATTTTAGTCCGTCACAAAACTTAAAATTCCCTCACAAAATGCGTCACTATTAGCGATGCTATTTTTTCCGTCACAAAATTCGTCACAAATATTAATTTTTCTAGTAGTGTCATAAACCGTCGCAATGTTAAACAAATTTTGCGACGGTTTACGATAAACCGTCGCAATGTTGAACAATTTTGCGAAGGTTTATCATAAACCGTCGCAATGTTCTACAAATTTTGTGATGGTTTACGATAAACCGTCGCAATGTTGAACAATTTTGCGACGGTTTTGAAAAACTGTCGTATGAAGGGTCGCAATATCAAAGCGACAACGGTTTCTAGATAACCGTCGCAATTTGTCCGTCGTAATTTATCATTTTCCTTGTAGTGACTCTATGTAAAGGGAGAGTGAGAACACTCATTTCTGAGGATTGAGTGTATACATGAAGGGTAGAGGAATTGACTTCAATCCCATAAATTTTTTGTTCAATAAATGTCATGTGCGTTTGATGTGATTTATTGAGTAGATTCTGAATATGTATTTTATTTGATAATCAGATGTTTTTATAATAATTAATTGAGTATTATGTAGAAAGGGTTAGAACCTTAGAAGGATTCACCCCAACCACATAAGTTTTTTGATTAATGAATTGTTATATGTGTTTGATGTGATTTATTGAGTAGATTTTGAATATGTATTTTATTTGATAATCAGATGTTTTTAGAATAATTAATTGAGTGTTTTGTACAAAGGGGTTAGAACCCTAGAAGGATTGACCCCAATCCCATAAGTTTTCTATTTGATGAATTGTTATGTACATTTGATGTGATTTATCTAGTAGATTCTAAATATGTATTTTATTTGATGATCAGATGTATTTAGAGTAATTAATTGAGTGCTCTGTAGAAAGAGGATTGAACCCTAAGGGGAGAATTTGATGAATTTAAGGGATAAGAGTTGTAGACGCTAAAATTGGTGGATTCCCTATATGTAAAACGAGTTCTGAGTATTTATAATTTGTATGATTGATTTGGGTGATGTTTGCTTCAAGATTTTGTTTTGTAATTGATGTGTTTGGGTGCTAGAAAACACAATGTTAGGCTTAGGTGCTTGACGCTGAGTGTGTCTTCATGTGTATGAAGGCACTACCTAGAGAGAGCAGGGTAAAGTGGAGATACTTAAGGAGTCTAATTGTTAAAGAAGGGATTCAATTCTTGTGCATTCCAGGAAACCAAAATGGCAGAAGTTAGCAAATTGATTTGCCAAACAATATGAGGGGATTCTAATCTAGAATATTTATTTACTTCGACAGCCAACTCAGCAAGAGGGTAGTTATGCTTGTGGAACAAACAAACATTTCAGATACAAAATTAATTTCAAGGAGATGGCTTGTTGGGAGTTGAAGGTGTTTGGAAAGAGGAAGATAGGGTGGTCACTATTATTAGCATGTACTCACCATGTACACTACCATAAAAAATCTCATTATAGGCTGTACTGATGACATGGAGAGAGTGCTCATAGGTTAATTTGTTGTGTGTGGTGGGTGACTTCAACACTATCAGACACAGGGGCGAGAGGCAAGGCTTGGGTGTCATGAATAGTGAGTCAAGGGACACACATCTCTTTAATAATTTCATCTTAAGAATGGAGTTACTGGAAGTCCAACCTGTGGGCAGATTATTCACTTGTTTCCTGTAGACATCCAATTTTGTCTAGGGGCACACAAATAAGGAAATGGACCTCCATTATGAAGGGAAGGAGCTTCCGAAGCAGGCAAATAACAAGACAAGACATCAGAAGGCCTAAAGGCCAAATAAGGTGGTTTTAGTAGCCCGGAACGGGCTGTTCCAAAATCAGAACGGGCCGTTGCGAACCCCGGAACAGGCCGTTCCAATATCAGAACGGGCCGTTCCAACGTGACTAAAACACCTAAAGAGCCTAGGCTGGAACGGGACGTTCCAAATAAGTCAAATTTGGAACGGGCCATTCTGGAAAGGGGAACTTTGTGTTAATTTCCACTCTGGAACGGGCCGTTCCATTTTCAGAATGGGTCGTTCCAGGGTGCGTAATTTGCAAATAACGATTGGCCCAGAACGGGCCGTTCTGAATCTAGAACAGGCCGTTCTGGCCCCCTTCCAATTCCTATAAAGAGAAGCCTCAGGCACAGTTCTCAGGGCGGCCAGAGAAATTTTGAATAAGACTCTTTTGAGCACGAAAATTCTCTATCTCTCTCCCTTCTATTGTATTTCTTGAGATTTGTGTCGCATCTCTATCTTCTCTCTCCCTCGCAATTTGTCCGTCGTAATTTATCATTTTCCTTGTAGTGACTCTATGTAAAGGGAGAGTGAGAACACTCATTTCTGAGGATTGAGTGTATACATGAAGGGTAGAGGAATTGACTTCAATCCCATAAATTTTTTGTTCAATAAATGTCATGTGCGTTTGATGTGATTTATTGAGTAGATTCTGAATATGTATTTTATTTGATAATCAGATGTTTTTATAATAATTAATTGAGTATTATGTAGAAAGGGTTAGAACCTTAGAAGGATTCACCCCAACCACATAAGTTTTTTGATTAATGAATTGTTATATGTGTTTGATGTGATTTATTGAGTAGATTTTGAATATGTATTTTATTTGATAATCAGATGTTTTTAGAATAATTAATTGAGTGTTTTGTACAAAGGGGTTAGAACCCTAGAAGGATTGACCCCAATCCCATAAGTTTTCTATTTGATGAATTGTTATGTACATTTGATGTGATTTATCTAGTAGATTCTAAATATGTATTTTATTTGATGATCAGATGTATTTAGAGTAATTAATTGAGTGCTCTGTAGAAAGAGGATTGAACCCTAAGGGGAGAATTTGATGAATTTAAGGGATAAGAGTTGTAGACGCTAAAATTGGTGGATTCCCTATATGTAAAACGAGTTCTGAGTATTTATAATTTGTATGATTGATTTGGGTGATGTTTGCTTCAAGATTTTGTTTTGTAATTGATGTGTTTGGGTGCTAGAAAACACAATGTTAGGCTTAGGTGCTTGACGCTGAGTGTGTCTTCATGTGTATGAAGGCACTACCTAGAGAGAGCAGGGTAAAGTGGAGATACTTAAGGAGTCTAATTGTTAAAGAAGGGATTCAATTCTTGTGCATTCCAGGAAACCAAAATGGCAGAAGTTAGCAAATTGATTTGCCAAACAATATGAGGGGATTCTAATCTAGAATATTTATTTACTTCGACAGCCAACTCAGCAAGAGGGTAGTTATGCTTGTGGAACAAACAAACATTTCAGATACAAAATTAATTTCAAGGAGATGGCTTGTTGGGAGTTGAAGGTGTTTGGAAAGAGGAAGATAGGGTGGTCACTATTATTAGCATGTACTCACCATGTACACTACCATAAAAAATCTCATTATAGGCTGTACTGATGACATGGAGAGAGTGCTCATAGGTTAATTTGTTGTGTGTGGTGGGTGACTTCAACACTATCAGACACAGGGGCGAGAGGCAAGGCTTGGGTGTCATGAATAGTGAGTCAAGGGACACACATCTCTTTAATAATTTCATCTTAAGAATGGAGTTACTGGAAGTCCAACCTGTGGGCAGATTATTCACTTGTTTCCTGTAGACATCCAATTTTGTCTAGGGGCACACAAATAAGGAAATGGACCTCCATTATGAAGGGAAGGAGCTTCCGAAGCAGGCAAATAACAAGACAAGACATCAGAAGGCCTAAAGGCCAAATAAGGTGGTTTTAGTAGCCCGGAACGGGCTGTTCCAAAATCAGAACGGGCCGTTGCGAACCCCGGAACAGGCCGTTCCAATATCAGAACGGGCCGTTCCAACGTGACTAAAACACCTAAAGAGCCTAGGCTGGAACGGGACGTTCCAAATAAGTCAAATTTGGAACGGGCCATTCTGGAAAGGGGAACTTTGTGTTAATTTCCACTCTGGAACGGGCCGTTCCATTTTCAGAATGGGTCGTTCCAGGGTGCGTAATTTGCAAATAACGATTGGCCCAGAACGGGCCGTTCTGAATCTAGAACAGGCCGTTCTGGCCCCCTTCCAATTCCTATAAAGAGAAGCCTCAGGCACAGTTCTCAGGGCGGCCAGAGAAATTTTGAATAAGACTCTTTTGAGCACGAAAATTCTCTATCTCTCTCCCTTCTATTGTATTTCTTGAGATTTGTGTCGCATCTCTATCTTCTCTCTCCCTCCTATTGTATTTCTTGATCTGTGAGGCGTACTGTAGTGTGAAAGGTCGTCACAAAGCACTTTCTCCATATTTGAAGATTCAATAAAGCTCGTTCAAGAGGTATTTCAGTCAATCTTCTTCTCTTCCTTTTATTTCTCATATTTATCTATTTTTTTTGTTATAATAAACCTCATAATCACTAGTACACAAAGGGTGTTTTACGTCGTGTAT